TTTAGAGGATATGCAGGGGACAGAATAGGTAGCTAGGAAGCACATATTCAATATTCCTCCTCAAAATCTGAAAACAGGTAGTCAGTCAGAGGGCAAACATATCAGTAAATGTGTAAAGAAGTCTGATCTATGGCAAAAGAAAGTCATGGGAGAGTTAGATGCTTATTTCAGTTAAAAAATATTCAGATTCAAGATTTTACTTTTAAAAAGCATGATTCTGATAAAACAAAAGCCTCTTCCATTAGACCAGTCATAGTCTTCTAATTTAGTCACCTTTACTCATTATCTCTTGACAAATTACTGAATAAATAGCACTTTTATAAAAGAATTAATAAGGGCTGGAGATATAGCTTAGTCAGTAGAGTGCTTGCTTTGCATGCACAAGGCCCAAGGTTCAATCCCCAGCACCACACACACACACACACAAAAGTAAATAAGTACAAAATTAAGTAAAACAACTTTGTAGAATATGTGACTTTTAAAAAGTGCTCCTAGACAGAGAATTTCTGTATCTTTTGCAAAGCTGAATTAGAAGACATAGCTCATTGTGTAATTCAATGCAACTATGAGATAAAGTTACCAATTTTTTAAAGAAAATGTCTGCTTATTCCAAATAATTTGGAAAATTCTCTTCATCTGTCAGTGAGGAATTTTGTTTTGATTCCTAGGTCTCTTGAGACTGAAGATGGTATCTATTTTATCCTCTTACACTTTTGATTATTTTCAAAATATTATTTTTCATGCTTGTTAGAATGTCTGTAATTTTATTGTAATAATCTGGTATTTTCAACATGACATTATATACACATATGTGTATGTATGTATGTATATATATATATATATATATATATATATATACATACATACACATATGCCAACATGATACCATATATATGCCAGTTTTTAACCCTTAATTGAAAGAGTAGTAGAGGAATGCACCAACCATGGTTAACTGACATCATTTTTGTAAAGTCCTTACTTCATAGGAAACAAGGACAACATGATCTAAGTGTATCCATCCACAATCAACCCTTCACTCATAATTAAACTGAAAGTAAAAGACATGTCCTTATTGATAACTCTAGTTAATCAACTATAATGGTTGTATCATTGGATTCCCTTCAGTGAAAATAAAGGCATTCAGCGTATATGGATTGGCTAACACTGTTAAGCAGTTTTATTCTTGAACAAACTGTATATAGATTTCATTTAGGTTGATATCCTGGACTTCTTAGAGGTAGGACACACTGTTTTAGCCCCAATAAGTCTGTGTCCAGGCATTGGATTAGGAAGATTTCTGATTGAAGATTGCTTGCCAAAGGTCACAGAATCCATTTTCTGGAGTGTTGCAATGCTCACCTCTAGTTAAAATATCCAAAGAGAGTGGTCAAAACATCCAAAGGATAAAAACCTAGGGTTTCACTGAATTTATATAAACAAAGTTGTTCCTGGTTTGGTAATAAGTGTCTAATAAATATCTAAATGTAGGATAAAACTTTGACTTAGATTTGCTTTTTATCATAATCTAGTAGTGAGGTTGTAGGACAGAAACTAACTTTCAGCACTTTGAACTTCTTGGTTATTCACCACTATCTAACACACACACACACACACACACACAAAACCGCCAAAATTTTGCCGAATTTGGCTTCCATCAGTTAAAATGAGTGTTATGGAATCATTAAAATCATTAATATGACAAATTACCCCCAAAGTAGTTTGGAAAGAAGCAGAAATATCTTTTTGTGATTAACAAAACTATTTTGTGAATATATGTTTCTGAAATGATCCTTGCTTTCTGCAAAACAATAGTAACAAATGCTTAATACACACACACACACACACACACACACAAAACATGCATAATTAAAGGTATAAAAAATTCTTTACAAATAAATGATACATGAACATCCTGGTTGAAATTTTAAATGAATAAAGAGATCAAAGGGCAAAGTTGCTTTATAAGAAAGCTGAAAATATAATGAAGTGAATTATAATTAAATTTTACAAGTGCATTTTAAGAAGAGATGTATGAAATTGTATTTGAAGTCTTACTTTGCTGCCAGAAATTTGAATCTACATTTTAAAAATCTGAATATGTTCACATTTTAAACAGATTATTTTGCCTAGTTTCTATCTTAATTCAAAAAGAAGCAGAGAGACTTTGTAGTAAGATAATCAGGTCAATTAAATTTCAACAAGTAGTTCAGAGAAAGACTCCAGTTTGACACTTCAGAATTATTCTAGAACTTAGCATCAAATACCAGTTCTCCTACAAACTAGAAATGACAACTCTCAGAGGCAGTATCAAATATTTTGGTCATCAAGAATCTCGGATGTTTCCATTGTCCAAGTAGGAAATACTATCACATCAATCAAAACATCAGGGAAGTAAAAAATGGAAATCAGATCAACTACAACAACAATTACACCCACAACATGAAAGACTCCAACATACAAACTAAATATAATACTGTAGCCATTAATTAATACTTTTTATTTTTTTAAATTTATCATTTATATAGATAACATTCCTTTTTCTCATTCATCTTCTTTTTGGTGTGTGTGTGGGGTATTAATCCCAAATACAGTTAAACAAACATACCTTTGACAAACCAAAATTTCACATACAAACTCACAGGAACAACTTAGTTCAATTCCAAATATATACATAATAAAATACACAATTGTGCCCATTGTAACACTTAGTATTATCTAGAGTGACCTAGAATAAACTTCCAGCTTTTATTTTTCTATTTTTGTCTCTTGTTCACTTTAATGTAAATTGTCCTAAGCTTGCAGAACTGATGATGCAAAATTAACATAGAATAAGAGAAAACCACATAATACCACCACCACTGTCCACTCCTCCCAGTAAGCATCAATATCTAACAGCAGTCAATCTAGAACAGATTCTTTATGGTCCTAAAGCCACATGAAATCTATTCTGAAGTTAGTTACCTGGGAAGAAACCAAACATTTTTTTTTCTTAAATAAGCACATAGTACCCATTTCTCACAATCAGAAATGTAAAGTAAAAGTCTTATTTTGCCTTTGATATTCATAATATTTGAAGAATCAAAACTACATTTTTAAAAAGTAGGACATTTGAAAATCTACAAAGGCCAAAATAAGCAGGCAGAATGTAATTTTTTGAGACAATTTTAGTTTCTGAATATTATTACCATTTGGACCAATACAATATGGTAGTCACTGAATACATGTAATCACTTAAGCACCTGTAATGCAGCTTGTTCAAATGAGTAGTATTATAAGCATAAAATATGGACCAGATTCTGAAGACTTTAACAAGAAGGTAAAATGTTATATTAATAATTGTATATTAACTATATATTAAAGTAGGAATATTATAGTTTTATTGAGTTAAGTATATTAAAATGAATTTCACCTATTTCTTTTTAGTTTTTTACATGTAGCTTCTTAAAAACTTTAAACTACATATATGGTTTGTATTTGTGTCTTGCATTGTATTTCTATTGGATCATTTACAGAAACCTTACACAGATTCTCAACTATCAATCCTGTTTACTAAAAGGATGTTGTTACTTTCATGAAAACTTTCATCTACTCCAACATTTTTATGCACTTAGCAGTGATTTGGACCATATGATGTGTGCTTTAGACAATTATAATGTGTAGTAAACCTTGCAGAGAATTTATACTCTAATACTTGGCTCAGAATTTGCAAAACTAAGCCACATAGTACAGAAAAGTTTTTAAACCATATTTCCTAATGAAGATCTCTGGGTGGAAGTTCAAGGACAATCAGCCAAAGAAATAAGAATAGGTAAAGGAGCATCTGTAAAGATCTGAAGCACAGTCCAAATAGAGGAACAAAAAGGGGAAGGTGGCATGAATAATTAATAATTCATTAAGGCTTAGGTCTCATTGCCTCTCCTTTTTCTGTACTTCCTCCCCTTCTGTCCCTCCTCATTTTCTTTCTCCTCAGCTAAAACTCCTGTTTATCCTCATTTTTCATCTGCTGGATATTTTATGGTTTCTGTCTCATCTCCCCCACCTTCAGTCCTTTTTTTTCTCCATTATCCTTTTTTCCATCTATTACTATTTGTTTTTAAATTTGTATTAAATGTTAACAACATTGACTTGAACTATATTTTAATAGACCTGATATGCTTTCACATCTTTTTTTTTTTTTTTTTTAAGAAGAAAATACACACAAGGGAAATGGTACAGGAGGTGGGCATTCATATATATGAAAGTACTTTTTATTTCTAGGATGCTCTTTATTGGGTTGCTTTCTTTTTAAAGTGTCATATTATGGGGGATAAGTTCAATTATTGGCTTTAGTATTTAAAAATTTTTAAAAATGATGAAAAAAGAAGAAGCCTAAAAGCATGACAATTAAATTTTCAAAGTGGTAGTGAACAGAATCCCTTTGAGGCTAGGATAAGTTAATTTAAGATTGCTATTATGGGTTTCTTAGAATGTATTTCAGAGTTGTTCAGTAAAGACTAGTCTTTTCTGGAAAAGACATGGCCATTCAACTCATATAAATTGGTCAATTTACATAAATAAGATGTATACTTTATATTCTGCTAAAAAAAGTAACTATATAGTTAAATAACTGCAATGTTGGTTAAGTATTAAAAAAAAAATCTCTGGTTAGTAAAAAGTATAAAACCTAGACCTACACTCACTTCCACCTAACACTCTCTTTGATTATTAACTATGGACATTTTTGAAAGTGAATTTTTAAAAGCAACATTCCAGATGTTAATAAATTAGAACGAAACACAGGCACTGTATCTGGTTATGAGTGGATCTGATTACAACTGGAAAATAAATAAAATATTTGCTTTTGATGTCTCAAGCCTTTGAACTCATAGAGCTTTGATAGTATGTTTAACAAACATTTTTACTATTATATAGTCTCCAGAATAAACAATTACATTATCCATAATCAACTATACACCAAAATATAAACACACAAAGAGAATCAGAGTAATTACCAGTCATACCTTATTATGTGTTTGAGTTTGTCCAACCAGTATGAGGATGTTGGATGAGATGATAGACAGGCAGAAGTTAATTAAAATTATGGACCTCTCAGAGCGTATGTACCTAGCCAGAGAGAGAAAGAGTGTCCAACTTTAATATTCAACAGATGAAGAATTCTGTATTGTGCAATTGGTGGAATTCATCTGGAAAAAAAGAAGCACTAACATACAACCTTCACACAAATAAAAACATGAAAAGTTTTTCATAGTTTTTTTTTTTCTTAGAGACCTAATTTTATATTACATGTCATATTCAAGTGCCTTTCAGACTTATTTTCTTCCTTAGACATTAGTGTGGACAATATGGCATTTCTGAAAGAGTCTAACTTTCATATCTGTGATCATGATAAATTCCTTATTAGACATAAAACATTTCTTGGAAATATATCCATTAGTGTTATTACTTTTGTAAATATGTGGATATCTGTACATTTAAATGTTTGGTAGTACCACAACCAATAGAACTCTAGAACCAAAATATAAACCCTATACAGATTCTCACTTATCAATCCTGTTTACTACAAGGGTGTTGTTACTTTCATGAAAACTTTCATCCACTCAAGCATTTTTATGCATTTAGGTTGTTAGTTATGTTCCTGAATAACTATTCTAAACAAACAAACAAAAAAATAAATCTTTATCTCTAAAAATGGCTCCAATTAGCTGCGTATAGTGGCACATGCCTATAATTCCAGCTGTTTGGCAGGCTGAGGCAGGAGGATCACAAATTTGAGGCCAGTCTCAGCAACTTATCCAGGCCCTAATCAACTTACTGGGACCCTGACTCAAAATAAAAAATAATAATAAAAATAAAAAGGGCTGCAGGTGTAGCTCAGTGGTGGAGCACTCCTGGGATCAATCCCCAGTACAAAAACACCAAAAAAGTCACATTCACAAATGATAATTCACTATTAGGCCAAAACATAAGTTATTATCTACCATTTGTTAATCCTTAAGATGAAATATTTATAAATAATATGTTACATGGTTTATAAGTACATCAATATTATAAACCATAGCAAAATCTGCTCAGAATCAAATGTTCTGCCAGCTATTTACCCTGAAAGGGTAACAGCTATTTTGTTTCACTGTACCTTGTAAATCACTAAGTGACAGTAACTAAAAGACAACCTTGTACTTGCTGTGTGTTTCAGCCTGTTCAATTTGTATTAGAAAAGGGAATCACATCCCACAGCAGGCATGGGATTACCTGTGCAATGTTAGGAGGGAGTGCCAAAGATCTGGCACCTTTGCAAGTTAAAATCTACAATTTTAACTTAAAATTGTAACTTACAATTGTAATTTGCAAGTTCAAATTGTAATTTGCAAGTTCATCCCCCCACCCACCCCTGCCTTTGAAAAGGATTTAGGCAGAAAGAGGCCCCACATCCCATCACATATTTTAGAAGCAAAAGTGAAAGAAAAACAGGATTGACACTAAAATACTAAAAGGAGATTTTATAATATGAAATAAATTAATCTTTTTTTGCAAAAACAAAAAATTTCAAACAAAATGAAACAAACAAAAAAACCCAAACAGGACTAACCTAGGTCAATTCTAAACACAAAATGGCTTCAAGAGATGGGGAACCTTTTCCCTTTGTCCTGAAGATACACATGTAATAAACCACACACTGGGATACTAAAGACATCATCAGATATTAAGTTGCCCTTCTTTTTATGGTTGGAGCAATTAATATAAGTTTAAGGACTTTATCATATTAACCCTTTACATGATGTTAGTGGTTTCCAGATGATGTTATTAAAAGAGTATTTCAATGATATTTTTGCATTGTAAATATTAAAAATAAGAGTAATAAAAGATCCAGAACTGACCATCCCGAAGACTCTGAAGATATTTCCATTTTCATCAATATTGAGCAATATTGGTACCTTGCAAATTGCTTTCAAATGTCTCACCTTTCAGTACTTTTATCTACCATGTTTGATATTTTAAACTAAATTTATAAATGCTTCATGTCAATATCCCATTTAAAACAACATATTTAATTGCTCTTTGATGTAACAATATAATTCTACAGAATATATCTATAAATGGAGAGAGCACCCTTGTATTAATTTTTTTCTTTTTCAGTTCTGGGGATTAAATGTGCTATAAGCAAGTGTTCTACCACTTAGCTACACATCTAGCCTTGTATTAAAATTTTGAGGAACATTTCTGATAAACTACATAGAATACCAACAAATTTCAAAATAACATTACATATAAAATAATTTCCTTATAGAATAATATGCTTATACATTTTTTAAATCATTATAAAGCCAAAAATCCTAAAAATTTTTATTATTTAAAAAAAAAAGTTAAAGGAAACTTCACATCCTTATTACCTTCCAGTAATGTTATAGAGTAAATAAGATGTTTATAAAATGCTTGGATTCATCATGCTACAATTTGCACTCAGTAGTTCATGGGTCTTGACACTTTCAAAATGTGACTATTAGCTCATTTCTTCTATAGGTGAATAGTCATTTGATGACCTCTTAACTCTTAGGGATACAGATTTGTTTCTTTGAACTTTCCTTCTATAATTCTGAATTTCATGTTTAATTTTACTATTATAGGAAATGATTTTCTGGCTTAAAGAAAACTTCTTTAGGAACCAATTAATCCTGTATTTCTATGATTAATTTTACATATAATTTAACTGACATTGTTTATCCTAGTGTTAATGATATGTATTGAAGGGTGAAGAGAAGGTGGAATTGGTACCTGAACCCTAAATGCTAAGAAATGAATTTAGCTCTAAATATTCCAGGGATCATGAATTATGATGCTAGCATGATTACTTAGTACTTTGGGCCTTAAATACTCTCTAATTTTCAAAAGGAAATGTCATTCATACAATGGTAGGAGAGAAATCATCTCCCCAGCCTTTGTCCATTTGTATATTCCAGGACAAGATGACTGACTGAGTCCCAAACCTAGGATTGCCTTGCCTACAATGTCACACCTAGACTAAGCTTTTCTTCTATTTCCTGAAATTGGCCATATTTTTCAGATTGTCTGACTTCATCTGTGTTTGTACTACCAGATAACTTTTTCTCATAGATGTAGAACTTCTGTTATGTGCCTGTTCCAATAGGTCAAATTATGTACATATTTTATTTTTGTATGGGGCATGAAAATTCTTAATATTTTTGATAATTAAATAACTTTGACTATTACTTTTTGTTCTCAAAAAAGTAAAAATTATAATGGAGAACAATGATTGTATTTAAAGGATGATAATTCTAGTGGCCTTCCCTCTTAAATTATAATTAATTTTTAATTTTTAACTGATTATTTAAAATTTACAGATAAAAACTTAGAGCTCTTTGAGGTAGAAACAAAAACTTTTGTAATTTTAATATTGAAAATATTCAGAAAGCAATAGGTAATTATCTACCATTATTGTTACTTCATTGTAGATAATTTAAAATAATATACATAAACAAAAGAAAGTTATTTAACATTTGGAAGTATAAAATCCATTAGAAAGTTCAACCTTGTGGTTAGATACTCACTCTCTGTGTGTGAGTAGATATAATCAACCTCGAAGGTCTAATTCTTGCTAGTAGAATAAAACTTGTTACAGAACTTAAAGAAATACCAAATTTCCATGTAATATCCAATAGTTTCAATTTCAAATATCTTATAAGAGAAAATTTCAAACACTTATCTTTGTTTATGAATTTGTCTGATTTCTTGTAATCAATTTGTCAAAGTCAATTTATTATACTCAACCAAAAAATCTTTTCTAGAGTAGTGTGATATTATATTAATGCTTTAATATTAAGGAAGGGCTTTACTGGACATGCTGAAAGTATGTGTTTGAAACTTGAAATCATATTTCTATAAAAATTAATTTGATAGTATCAATTAAACACTCTGGATCAATAGCAATTGGGATAAATAGAAACCACACAGAGACTGAATGATATAGGAATGCCATATTTAAGTGTAAACAACTTGTTGAAGACTACCATCATTTGAATTGGAAGGAAAGTATGTCTGTAAATATGTGTCATTTATTACAACTCAATTATAACTCTGTTTTTAAAATACTGCTTTCAGTAAATTAAGAAGGCAGGAGACATATCATGGTTATCACACTCTCTGATTTAACTGAAGAACTGAGCATTCCATTTCAAGTCTATCAGTTGATCACATACCTCCATAACGCTGCATAGACAACTGCTAGGGTGATCAAGGCCAGGCAAGAAAGGCCACTGCCTACTATTAAAGTAACCGAAGGTGTACCAGAGGATTCCATGATCTGTAAATTAAAACACACAAAAAAAAAAAAAAAAAAAAAGAAAGAAAGAAAAAAAAAGGAAGAGAAAATTTATAACTGAGTTAAGATAACTTTAAGTCTCAGCAAACTAAGCTACCACTCAAAAATAGCCCAAATAGTTCCTATAATTACCAGATAATTAGCCATAAACCCACTCAGTTCACATATTTTAGCCTCTAAAATGACTAATTCGAGCTCCTCCTTCTTTCACACTGTGAAGCAATAAAGTCTTTGGAGTTTTAAATGCTGATTATGGCACCTTATAGCTTTCTTAAAATACGACCTGAAAGTACAACTTGGTCAACATTCAGATGTTAAATGTTCTGTAGCTAAAATCATTTTTCTTCAACTAACTACATTTCAGTCATTCCACAACAGGATTCTTAGTAAAATTTATCTATATACTCCCATGTACAACTCATTATGTTACCCCAAACTGGTACTAAACAGTGAAAAATTTTCAAACTTTCTGACTTTTGACAACTTTGTTCTAAGTCAAGTATTCTCACATTATATTTCACTTCCTTAGACTCTGAGAATATAGAAGAAAATAAAATATCAAATTTAAGACCTTCATATTTATTTTGCATTTTTTTCTATGAACAGAATAAGTGGAGATAATTTCCACAATACCAGTACCAGTCCCTAAAAACATGACCTTGAAAAAATGAACCTATGTCTTTTAAAACAAATATAAAGATTATAAGCATTCACTCATCTGAGAGGTATCTTTCCTGACACACTAATGTGACAATAACTAGTGAAATCTGTTGTTTTTCAAATTTTATACAGGAAGTTTGTAGGAATATACTTTAAGATTAAGTGTATTCATAAACCTTAGATATCCATATCAAATTATATTAGGTATTTTTGTCATCAAAATAAGTAATAAGAATGATGCTTATTAAGGCCAAATTTAGGCAGAAAGTCACTTTTATCTGAATAACTATTTTTTCAGTATTTCATTTCTTGTGATTTTTTTTTCAAAATACATTTGGTGAGAATACTAGTTTTTAGATAGTTCTATACAGCTGCCTCTTTCAGAAACTATTTTTGCAAAATCCATATACTTATAAGGAATGATCTTTCAGTTCCACACAGCCATGCTTTCATGAAAACTTCATTTGATTAATATATATATATATATATATATATATATATTAATAAAGTAAAATTATATATATATAATCTCCATCCAAGGACACCCTCAGAAACCTGTACTGAAAATATCCAATGCAGATATGCAATGTGTTTGGCTATAGTGTCTGGGGTCTTCCTTCATTCTACTACTAACAGTATTCTCACAAATTCCCCAGAATAGCTTTCCAGTTTTAAAATAAATGTTATATTGGCAATCATTTTTATTTGAAAGTTTGCAACATATTAGTAATACCATAGGAGCATATCCTTAAAACTATACTGCAGAAATTTCAAGTTAGAAGACATAAAATTGAGTAGAATTTAGTTATAGCACACCAACTAGAATTCATTACACCAAGCTTCTATAGCTAAGGAGGAGAAGAACCCAATTTTGCCACCCTGCAACCTTTTCCATTTCCCCATTTAAAATGCAGTTCCCTGGAGAAACACTAGCCACAATGTCCCTGCCTTTGCATTAAAGCCGTGTTTTCCCTTTGTTACTTACTATTTCTCTAGGTTGCTGAGCCAAAATGGCGAAGGTAGAGAGACGATCACATAAGCATTTCGTATGGGATGCATCGGTAAGCACAGTTTTACATCCCTGGGTGGACCACGTTCCCAAAGACTCGTTCCTGCAAAGGGGGTGGGGGGAGATCGGGATAAATACGCCTGACAGCCAAATCCGTAAAGAAGAAAATGCAGTTTAATTGAGAGAGTCGTCTACTGTAATTCTCATACAGGAAAAAAAAAATCTACTTGTTGTTGAACAGGACGTAATTTAGATGCATCTCCAGTTATGCAAAGCAAGAGTGGGAAAAAGCAGGCAGGCAGCGGTGCGGTATGCAGAGAGCTGTCCAGCGCCGGAGGTGCTGAAACCGGGACTAGCTCTGTCCAGCCCTCTGCGAGGAACGGCGGCGGCAGCGGCGGCAGCTAGAGCAGCCGCCAGAGCGTTGGCAGCCACTTCCTATGCTCATCGGATCGTTTCAAACACTCAGGGTGTAAAGAGGCTTTTCATATTTTCATACCAGCTCTGATTCCCGGCCCATAGTTTGGACCATGAACGCTGGCTTTTAAAATGCGGATTTCTCTGAAAGCCTGCCTAAAAGGTTACATTGCTTGGGTTGGGTGATAGGATCTTCTTCGCTGCTGGTTAGGGATTTTTCCTCCCTTTAGAATTAGCTGCTGTGAAAATTTCACCCTGGAAACGGGAAGCAGCAGCAGCGGCATCAGCTGGTTCCAACTCTCATTGCCTTTGCCGGGTTTCCAGGGGAGGGGTGGGTTTCAGATATAAGCTTCCACTACACACTTTACTCAGCTCAGCGCTCCTCTGAAGCCCTTGACATTTTCCCCCCTCGATTGCCTCTTTGCCCTGGGGCAGAAGGATTAAGCTAACCCCAAATCTGCTAAAACATTTAGAAGAACAAACCCACCCCAAAGTCCAGTAGGAGGGGGAAAGAAGGCCTGGCTCAATTTTCTCTTTGGTGTAGCCATTCAAAGTGTTAAAGCATATGGTTTATTTCCCACCCCAGCAGAACAATAAAAATGGTATCAACCTACTCTTCTTAGCAGGGGCTGGGGGGATGGGAGGGAACCCTTCCACCCCCACCTGAACTACTCTATAGGAAGAGAGAAAAGAAGAGGAAGGGGGAAAAAAAGCTATAGAGCTCAACCAATCAACTTTATTATCATTACACGTGTTCTATGTTGAATGCACCAATTATCACCTCCCCTCCCCCAGGCAAGGAAACTCTCCAGCTAACAAACCTGTATGTATGAGTGTGTTTAAATTTTAAGCCAAGTTACTATCTGTGTTTAAAATGACTGTAAAACTTGGATAGAAAAACACACGGCTTGGTGTTAATTTTGAGGTGATACTTTTGATTTTGCCTTCTATATCTTTGAATGCCTAAAGCTACTGGGTTAAATATGCATGCAGTCTATTTCAGAGAGACTCAATGAGAAGTTTCTCTGTGACAGTTGGACTTCCAACTTGAGTTACAGAATATAATTCACACTTATCCATTTTTGGTATCTATAAGCAATTCTTTTTAATATTCATGATTTGCTATCATTAAAATTTATGACTCAATACACTCTTAATTATAACTCCTTTTAAGAAAGAATACATTGTATTTGGGGAAAGTTAGATGAAAATTATATCCAACTTCACCCAAATACCTCAGAGTATTAGTCAATTGGAAATGTTGTCTCTCTTATTTTTTATGATATCATACAATGCTGCCAAATTTTCAAAACAAAATCAGTTATACTTTCAACTGCAAAAATAGTATTGAATTTACATTCTATCTTATCATAGCAGAATATCAATTTATTTCATTAGTTGTCTGTCTCTTATCTTCTTGTAACAAACAGTTAAGGCCAAATGAAAAACATCTATCTCAGCTGATCAAAGTTTAAAGAAGGAAGATATACTTAAGAGAATCTGACATGTTTTAAAACACAGCATCTGCATTATTCATTCTGGATGGCAGTTTTACTTCAATGCAGTATCTCTGCTTTCAAGATGGAGTCCAGTACTAAAGTTTTTCACATTATGTGGTTATGCCCAATAAATTAATTGAATATCTTAACAAGGAAGAACTTTACTGTAAATAAGACTTCATATGAGACAACCTTACAAATTTACATTCATTTAATGAGAGTTCATTACTCAAGATGATATTAGCATCACTACACTTTGGCTGTCAGATATAAAGTCTATATTCAATATAATGTTACTAGACTCTGAAGATAATGCAAATTTTACATGACATCTTTAGAAAACTGGGTCAATTTGCTTTACTCAGTACAGTGATTGCATTGCTGACCTGGCCCAGCCCCAGGCAAAATTGGGAAGTAAATAACTCTGCTCTCTATGCTTTAGTCCTTCACTGTTCCCAGCAGTCCCTGCCTCAATATGAAATGCTTCTAATCTCATAGGGCCCCTTTTCATATGTACCTTCCCAAGGCTATATCATCTCTGTCCTTACCTTTCTTCAAAACTATAATCCTTTTACTGACTTTATCTGATTAAACTAATGTATAATAAGGTTTGAGATACTACGTACAGCTTAACATATTTCTCTTAGTTTAAAAGAAGATATGTAACACAAAATAATATGCCTGATAGGATAACACCAGAATTTGAAACAAGGTAGTAGGAGAGAAAATCTCAAAAGGTGAGAGGGATAACTACTAAACTCTGCACTGGGTTACTCTTAAGATTTGGGTACTAAGAAGTGTGATACCATTCTATGGTAATATTTATATTGTTTCATAAAATCTCTTGATATGTGAAGATCACATAACACTTATAAATTAGTTTTAATTACTAGTATACATGTAACTGTTATTACAAACCCTATCGTATGCATTGCCTATATTTTCAAACTTTTCATAGCTTATTCCTACTGTACAAAATTCTTTTGAGAGCATGGTGAGCATGGCTGATTGATTTCAGGGAGATATTATGAAGCAAACTCATATGTGGTAGAGCTAATATGAGACAAAGCAACTTCCTTATTCTGCACAGAGAAAGGTTTTTAAACGTGGATTATTAAAGTGGTCACATTATTCTTCCAGTGTTGTAGTTTTGCATGGTATAATAAATAATATATATGTGAACTATTCTTAGTTATCAAGTCTAGCTTGTCATCAGGAATGCAAACAGATACAGTGAAGTATGTATGAAAATTAAAGATATAATGATAGTAACACACTGATGTAACACACAGAATGATGATACACACACACACACACATAAAATCACATAGATCCTTTCCATAGTTTCTTTTTTTATGTTTTATGTAATTTTTTTCAAATAGTTTGAAACATAGTTATGCTTGCAGAAATTTAATACAACCAGCACTGTCTTTGTTGGCAACACCTACATTCACCAATGTTAGCTGTTAGCTGTCATCTGTACATTTTCTCCTTCTTCCTATTATTAGGCTGGCTAAAAGGAGGAAGGAGTCTTCTTGTCCCAAGCTTCTAAAAGTATATATCACAAACACAATATTCTATTAAAATACAGGACAAAAAATCTCTTACTTTATAGCTTATGATTTATTTGAGGCCTCTTCCTAATTTTGTAGGAGTCTAAGTGTTTCTTTCTGGATCTGAATATTTGTTTGAGTTTTTAATTTTATGTAGTTTTAAATAATATACATTTACTCATATTCCCTAGTTCTTAAAATAAAAAGAAAAAAAATAAAAGGGAAAATTATCTGCTTACTCCAATAAAAGCTGTTTAGTAAAAAAACTGATGGCAAAAAGATACAGTAACCAATTTCAAAACTATTTCAAGAAGTCACAACTATAATCTTTTGAAATATCAACTCAAGTAGATATTCCACCTCAACCATTCTTTTATAAAGCTGTCCATTCTACTTAATAAGTGTGCAAGTTATTTATTCTGAACAAGTTATATACTTTAGGAAGTTCATTAACTCTTGATATATTTAAAATTCATTTATTCAAAATCAAAATAGCTACAACAGCAATTTTAAAAGATTTTCATATGCAATTTCTAACTACACTGTCTTCACATTGCATGTGTACTAAAAGAAATTGCCTTATAATCATAGCAATAATTAATTCTGAGAATAGAGTAAATCTATATTATTTTTAAAGCACATATTACACCCTAATAATGATGCATACTTGGTTCTTAGTAAAAATTGTAATACAGAAGTTTCAGTAGTACATGAAAAAAAAAGTTCCTGATTTTGAGTAGAAACAGTCTTTGAGAGCCATCTCTATAGGATATTGCAAATACTGAGAACACTGTTATCTCTAGCAAATGTTAGTATGTCAAAACACAATGAATCAGGCTGGGGATGTGGCTCAAGCGGTAGCATGCTCGCCTGGCATGCGTGCGGCCTGAGTTCGATCCTCAGCACCACATACAAACAAAGATGTTGTGTCTGCCGAAAACTAAAAAATAAATACTAAAAAATTCTCTCAATTCTCTCTCTCTCTCTCTCTCTCAAAAAAAAAAAAAAAAAAAAATCACAATGAATCATAAAATTAGAAAGTTTTGCTGGAAGTAACCTTAATGATCATCCAGTGCATTGGTTTTCAATATTTGCTGTACATTAAAATTACCTGGAGAGATTTAAAGATGAAACCCTGAAGTGGGTCCTGAGCATTATTACTTTATGTTTTAATGCTCTCCAGATGCTTCTAGTGTATAGCCAGGGTTCAGAACCACTGATCTGTCCTAACCACTTAGCTTTATAGATAAGGAAAGTGAAGTATAGTGAATTTAGAAAACTTGTTTTAAGTCAGAGTGAGAAGTAAAGTTGGGCTTTTCATTTAGAGACAAAAGAATTTTTTATGCTAATTTTTTATCAAAATGTATTTTAAAATAGCATATAATGAAAATGTCCTGTGAAGTTATAAGATTATCAGATCTAAAGATATGATATAGTACAATATAATCAAATGAATCTATTCTTTTAAAGCATACATTACACCCAAATAATGATGTAAGGACAGATACAGAAACCCATTTCAAAACTATTTCAAGAAGTCACTTGGAATATAGACACTTATATATGACACTTATAATATAGAGGTTTGGGGAGTACAGATGAGAAAATGTTCCCAATTTTGATTCAAAACAGTCTTT